TTTTTGCCAGTACGCTCTCGTCTGCCCCGTTATATTGGCGGTCAGTTGTCTGACTCATACACAGAATTACTGGCCGGTGATGCTGAGGAGGCAAAGGCCGGCCGTCCTGCCCCACACCTCTTCAACACCTTCTTGTAAAGCTCTGGCTTCGAATTATCCGCCGCCATGGCACTGCGCCGTTGGGCGCGTTAAGGAATCAGTCGATCGCGCGCTAACAAGTGGGGCGGAAGTCGCAAATGACGTTGAATTGGGGGTTGGCCGCGTATCATCACGGAAATCGTCTTGTCTGCATTGTTCGTCCAGGTTGTCTTTTTAGACTCACCGAGGGAGGTGGGGTGGGTAGATACACAATGTCCTGTGTCGGGTGAAACATGAGACCTAGCTTGGACGATCAGTCGCTAAAGTCGTGTTCATTGTGTTTCCGTGTCTTGCCGAGGAGGATGCGCGTGACGTACGTTTCGCTGGAAGAAGAAACACGAGCTTATCGACAGTTTAGTGGCCTTAGTGGACTGAAGTAGAAAGGTGCCCGTCGTGTACAGCTTGATCTGGCTTTTTACGTCGACGTATCTCGTGTGTCCGTGCTGAATGGCTGCAGAAGTCGGCTGCTTCAGAGACGAGGCTCGTTGGAAGCAAGAGGGCGGGCCGGGAAAGAATACCGAGCGAGCAATGGTACGGCGAGTTCGAGACGCGTCCGCCGATGAAACCAACAATCTAGTCCTGAGCGTAGAGCCATCGTCCGTCGGCCCCGCGCGAAAGAATATACGTCGTGTCCGTCGGCGGTCAGCCCGTTGAGCGTGTGTTCTCGCGGGGCGAGTGATATGTGTCGTGGTGGGGGTCGTGGTGGTGGTGTGCTGTTGCGGATGTGGTGTTGGAATAATAGGGGTGGGGGCTGGGTTCGTAGGTACAGCAGCATGCTCTCCTCGTCCAGCTCCAGCACAGCGTGGATGAGACAGCTCGCGACTGCTTCTGACCTTACCAACCCCAGAAGTGCCTCTTCTCTCTCCCCTCCCTCTTCATCTCTTTCTCAATCAGTGTTCATGACTTGCGGCTGTTTCTAACATAGGCTTTACGTACGCTATTGTATGAAGTGCCGGTCTCAGAACTATCTGGATCAAGCATAAACATCGCATGAATTTACGCGAGAGTTCATCTGAACTCGTGCAATCGGTGCACGACTTTAGCTAAACACCGCATGACTTTAGCAAAATGGATTTTTAGCTAGCTACATATGACTGCAAAAGGTATATGGTATAGAGCCCTTATAGCTAAACGCATCTAAAGTCATGCGCTGATTAGCTAAGATTGTGAGCCAATTGTTAGAATCACACGTGATTTAGCTAAACTCTCGCGATAATTCGAGGGACGTTTATGCTTAATCCTAAGAAGTAGTTCTGAGGAAAAAGCACTTCATATTATTGTGTAGACTATGTGACCCATACATCTTCGCATTCTAGTCCCTGAAAAAATTTAAAGCAAAGTCCGGGTAGTTTATCGTCTGTGCCCCTATTCAACGCCAGGAGAGGGAAAGAGAGGGGAAGGGTCTTGTGACCAGTGCTGGTGATGTGGCCATTGATTCGTAGAGCACGAGTAAAGTGTGAATGGTTTCACTATGTAAAAAGCGTCCATACTACGCCGAAACTTCGCATATGTACCTGGTTTTAGCATACACAGCCCATGTCCCATCTTCCTGTGTCACCTTTCTTCCCACCCAAACACCTTTATACACACACTTCTTCTTTCTTCTCCAGACTACACCATCCATCTCACAGTAGACATTGGCCAATTCACTGTGACCGGATCCACTGTCATCAACCTCAACATCACCACAAAGACACGCTACGTACTCATCCACGTGAAAGGAATGAACGTATCCTGGTTCAGAGTAACTCAGAACGGCGAGACTATTCCCGTTCAAAGCAATTTCACATATGAGGAGAATAATTTCTACGTGCTATCTCTCGCCAGTAGTCTCGCTATAGGAGAAGCCACTCTGGAAATGAAATATTACTATCCTCTCGGAGACGGACTAGTGGGATTCTACAGGAGTTCGTATCGAGATTCGAGCGGTGAAACGAAATGGATCGCAACTACTCACTTTGAGCCGACCGACGCCCGAAAGGCTTTTCCGTGTTTCGACGAGCCGGCAATGAAAGCGAATTTTACGATATCGATAACGCATTCTAGCGAGTTGAACGCCCACTCTAACATGCCGGTGAGAGATGAAGTGTCAGATGAAGAAGATGGATCGACGGTCACCACGTTTTTTGAGACGTCCGTGAAGATGAGTACTTACCTCGTGGCTTTTGTGGTGTCCGACTTTAAATGTATCACCAGGAAATCTGACACAGTCTTTCAAGTGAACGTAAGTGGTGTAGGTTAATTCTGTGTACTGGTCTTGTGCCAAGATTCCACCGGGGAAATATTATAGAATTTTACATGAGAGGCAATATGGGGAGGGGCACACATCAACACTCTAACTGATAATTATGAGCCTAATGGTAATGGGGAGGGCAAATTGTGAGGATTATCTTACTATGAGCAAGTTGGCCTGGATTTCTTTAGTTTCGTCTTCTTTGGTCAATGAATGGGGTGTCAGTACCATACCTAAATGCTGCAGTAAATGCCGCTGTAAATGGAGTATATAGGCATAGGGCCAAGAGTATTGTAAACAGTTGGCTCCCATTTCAACACGATTAGGTCAGTGTATGTTCCAACCCTGACGTTCTGAACAACACTCACTATGCCCTCGAGAAGGCTTCTGAGATCCTCAAATTCTACGAGACCTACTTTGGCATCCCCTACCCCCTCCCAAAGCAAGGTACTATTAATTATTCCGGGAGCTTAATCAAGAACATCTTTAATGTCCATCTTGATCTACAGACTTGTTTGCTATTCCGGACTTTGCCGCTGGAGCCATGGAGAACTGGGGACTCATCACATACAGGTATAATATATTGTAGTAGCTGTACCTATTGTGTACGTGCATATCTACGATCATATTTGGACTGGGCGTAAGTAAGCACTACTGTATGTACGTAAGTACATATCAACAATGATACTGTGAATATCAGCAGTAGTGGTCATACTGTGAATGGACGTATGTACTATACGTATGCAGTAATTTTTACTCACACACTCTGTTTTTTGCCTCCATCTCTCCCTCCATCTCTCCTCTCCATCTCTCCCTCTCATCTCTCCCTCCATCTCTCCCTCTCATCTCTCCCTCCCTCCCTCCATCTCCAGAGAGACGGCTCTGCTCTACGACCCGGCAGTCAACCCTGAGACCAGTAAACAGAGGGTGGCCGTTGTCATCGCTCACGAACTGGCTCATCAGGTATATACTCTCTCATTCTATCTCTCCTTACTTCCCTCTGAACACTGGGAACATGTCGTAAGTCAGAAACCGGTTCTTGTCAACTATACGCAGCGAGAGAATTGTTTAATCCACACCTCAAGTTTCTCAATCTTTCAACTCCTACTGCTGAGTTTATACCATCCTGTTTAAACACAATTATATTCCAGCAATTACACAAAGAAAACGATTGCTAGATGTTCAATGGTATACGCCACTCCTATAATATAATGTGTGCTCTTATTCACGATTTCTTCTCTCCCTCTCTTTCTCCCTTCCTCCCACTCCCTCTTTTCCGCTCTCCCTCTCAGTGGTTTGGGAACCTGGTGACGATGGAGTGGTGGGATGGTCTTTGGTTGAACGAAGGATTCGCTACTTTCACTGAATATATTGGAACTGATGCAACTGAACCTTCCTTCCATATGGTAGACGAAATGCACTAGATTGAAAGCAGTGGCACGCTGCATTCTTAACATTATCAATTCAGCTCCTTGATACATTACCTTTAGTTCAAAAGTAGTACTAAAAGTAACAGAAGATGCGACTAAATTGATACCTTAAAGTTACATTTCTACCTGATCGGTGCTCATACATACATAGTACAGTGTTTGTAGTAAGTGTTGAGACGGGGAAATGTGAACTGTGGCGAATACATACTAACCCTAGTAGTAGCAGATATTGTGCTTCAATATGCACGCAAGCACTGAATGTGTATGGTAATTAAGCATTAGCTGACACTGGTAAAGTATATACATGTATTATCCAGGTTAGCACTAAGAGTTGAAACAGTGAAATATTATTTCATGTGTGGCTCTGTGTGTATACAGCTGGATGAGTTTCTGACTTCGGACTTGTTCCCGGCGTTCTCAGCCGACGAGTGAATGACAGTCACCCCATCATAGAGACTGTCTCAAACCCTAATGAGATCAACGAACTCTTTGACTCCATTTCATACAGCAAGGTTGGGTGGGATACCCCTCTCTGAGGAACTTCTCAAGGACACCTCTGAAATGAGGACACTTCTCTAAGAACGCCTCTGAAATGAGGGTATCTCTCCAAGGACACCTCTGAAATGATGACAGTTCTCTAAGAACGCTCCCTGAAAACAGTTTTGCATTCACAGTATAATTAAGTATATACCTCCCTTAAGTGGACACTTTCTTCTGTCCCATTGGTTTTCCAGATCAGCTATTATGCATTTAAAATACTTGGCAATATTTGTAGGGAGGGTCTGCTGAGAATGATCCGGAATGTTCTGACACAGATAATTTCAACAGGGATCAGTGTAAGTAAATCTTATTTTCCTTCCTTTTTCAATGTGTAGGGATGGATGTAAGTCTGTCAGTTGCTGACAATTACTTCATCCCTTGTTCAGATTTACTATCCTCCTCTGTCATTCTTATCTCTCCAGCAATATCTGGAAAAGCAAAGTTTGGTAACGCAAGCCCAACAACTATGGGACGCCCTCAAAGAAACCGTTGTTGATGTAAGTCATTTTTTTTTGTTTTATTTTTTTTTTTTTTTTTTATTTTTTTTTTTTTTATTTTTTTTTCTTTTGTTTTTTCTTTCAATTTTTTTTTGTTTTTTTTATTATACCTAGAGGCAAATATTTAACTGTGAGATGTCGAATCGTTATGATAATTTATCAGTTGGGCCTAAGTAAGAACCATTAGGAAAAGCCAATTGTGTGCATCGACTGTTAGTATAGAGCTTCACGCTCAATATACTCTACAGCTTCATTTCTTTCTCACTATGTAATGTACGTACATAAGAGTGCTTTAATCCCCTTAGTGTATTATATACTGAAGAGGATGATGTTATTACAACGGTTGAGGTTATGTAATACGCAAGCTGCAGACGCGTGCATTATGTAATCAAGATCATATAATTAATTTCCATTGTCTTAAACTACTTAATAAAGTGAGTTATGAAACATTTCGTTAGACGTGTATTTGCATACCTGCTCTGTTGTGTAGTAAATTATACTCTTACTGGGTATGGTTTATGGCACCAATGGATATTACCCTAGAACCAAGAGTGATTTTCCCCCAGGATTATCCCTATACAGTACTCAGTCTGACTTATATTATCCCCACACAGTATATACTCAGTCTGACTTGACTTATATTTTCAGATTTCTGGCTCCTAATCACGAGATTCAAAAAACGTTTTTATGCCAGTAGTGGAAATACATTTAGATACGAATGCTTCCGATTTTACCCATCACCATTATGCTATGTCTGATGTACATATTACACAGGATCCGGATCTGAATGTGACGGAGATAATGAACACATGGACACTCCAGATGGGATACCCCGTTCTACATGTACGCAGTCTCATGATAACATTGTGTGATACCATTTGGTAGTCATTGCACTACCTGGTAAATTTTTTCCTCAAGTATACAGTGGAAGCTCTTTTTAAATGGCACTCCAAATAAAGCACACCTTTCTATAAAGGACAATGTTCAAGGTCCAGCATGTCCTTTACAAAAGATGTTCCACCGTCTCATACACAATTATGTCTTAAGGCTTACTTCCATAGCATATGTAGCTGGCATTATGGTTGAGCTGTCAATTCCGGTGTCCTGAACTGGTTTAACCTGTGTCCTACAGGTCGACACAGAGTCAGGACAGGTCACACAAGAGAGGTTCTTCATCCTGAAACCAAACGGAACTGTTGTTCCTTCTCCCTATAAGTGAGATCTGTAATACAACATAGCCAGTCGTGTACATTATTAACTAAAATGTAGTTAATACTTGTTAGCCACCAGTAAGGCTAGGTTCACGATTTGTCACATTGCCACGTCGCGCCGTGCCGCGTTGCATCCTGCCGCGAGGATAGAAATGGATTCTATCCTCGCAATGTGGCAACACTGCAGGGCGCGACGGGGCAATGCGACATAAATTGTGAACCCAGATATTATTAGCTAGTTTGCAGAGGGTGGTCTAGTGGTCTAGTTAATAATGATGTATAGATATGTATGTAGCTCACCATTGTCCACAGCTATGTGTGGCTGGTGCCATTCAACTACATCACTGAGAAGAACAGCTCCGACAAGTTTGTGGAGGAAAGCTTCATAATCATTAGAGACAAGGAGGGTGAGTGAGGAGTGCGTTTTCCGAACAAGTGGGGCGAATATTTTGCCGAGCGCTTTTGCCAGATGTTAAGGAGAGCCAAGCATTTCTCTCAAGGGTGCGAATCAGATTACTGTAATGTTCAAGTTTCATTCGAATTGCATACTAATAAAGAGCCTATCGCTTGGCCTAAATATAAGTTAGGCGCCGATTCGAGGAAACTACGCGGATTTAGAAAGCCGCCAGCCCTCGGGCTGTAGCTGTCCGAGCGCCAGCGAGGACGCTACTAGAGGGCCCGAGGCTTTCTAAATCGTGTGGTTTTCGAGAATTGGCGCCTAACTGATTTAGAGCCATGGCAACCACACCTTCAATTCGAAAGACGCCAAGCGTGCGGACGGAAGACGGGGCTTCTGGAGCGGTTATTTTTCACGAAAAGCCAGGTATATACTCGGTCTTCTAGCAGGTAGTGGCGCATGACTACTGAGACTTGGCTACAGCTCTAGCGCACGCGCACATGCACTGGCTGTGCGAAAAGCACGCAGCGACCCCGCCTACTCTTGCGTGACAAGCCGGCAGAGCCAACCAGCGTCTCTCTTTCACTCTGTTAGCTTGCCTGCAGTTAGGGGTGCTGCGTCTCGAGCTAGCTACACTTTCTATCAAGCTGATTAGCGTCTTCTTGAATTTTCTGTGTTGTGAGCCACGTTTCCTGCGCATGATAACAATGGAATGTGCCTCGGGGAGGATTTCTATATGTAGAAGTCCGCTGATCAGTCAGCGGAATACTATGTGAAATAGTATTCCTCTGATTGACCAATCAGATTTCAGAACTCACTAGAGCCTGGCTCTAATGGCAAATATATTGATGAACCATGCCGTGTAAGTTGAAATTATGCAGCCAATGACAGTATATATTTTTGTTGTTCCACAGTGAAGCTGAGTTTCCCAGCCAACTCGGGTCATAAAGGTCAACATCAACCAGACTGGATTCTACCGGGTGAACTACGACCTCTCTAATTGGTATACATCATCGCTCATCTCCGCAGCAACCCAAACTCAGAGGTAAAGGACCAGAGTAGCGATGTTATTCAGTATAGTCATGTGGCTCCCTTGCTATTTTTCCTTCTCCTGCTAACTATGTAGCAACTACAGCAAATGTCACCTTTCTTTGCTCTCTTCCTTCCCTTCCTCTCCTCTCCCCCTCTCCTTACAGGTTTTAAGTCCAGAGACCGAGCTGGTCTAACTAGAGGATGCATTTGGCTCTCCAGGTCAGCTCTCACTCACTCTACTTGCTTACAGCAAATGTGACGAGACATACGGGCTATAACTAAGAAAGGCGGCAAAAGAACACAATTGATTAACAAGTTTCTAAATTTACCCTTCATATACTGCCGCGTTCCCTTCTAAGCTGATACTGAATCCTGTGAACTACGTACGTAGATACTGTATACTGATGATTCTTCTATAAACATATCCCACCCAGTTACCACAGCACACTTTTTATCACTCTGCTAAACCGCCTCTTCAATTCATTTGTACACTGTACGTGCACCACACCCTCCAGTGCTGGTCTACTGGACACGCGAGTGGCTTCTGAACCTGTCTCAGTACATCAGAGATGAGACTGAGTATGTTCCCTGTCTCACTGGCCTCTCCCAGCTACCTCTCTGGGAATAGACTCAGTCCCTCACTCCTGTCTATGGATTATTCCAGGTAAACATACTATTGATCTTTGCTTCTGGCTTAGAGCTTAAAAAGAGTGCTATAGTAACCAGTAGGTTTAAATCCACATTTTCTGTAATGTTCTAGTACTCATGCATTAAGTACTGAAGCAAGCTCTAAAGTGGCACCAATGTTGAATGGGGGAACTTATAGTATGGTATTCTTAATGCTACAACTTATATTAGGTACTTACATAAATGCTAACAACTAGTGTCCATGCCACATATCTCTGCAGAGTTTGTGAGAAATCTGACGTCAGATTTTGCTGAGATATACACCTCAACAGAACCAACCTCACCACATACAGATGTGAGGACTCAACTTAGTATGTATGAATCTCTCCTCAATTACAATCTTTCCCCTCCTCCTGCCTCTACAGGATCTGCTTATTGCATTTTCATTTTCAGTAAGGTCCAGAACCCTCACTAATGAAATTTACTTTATGAGATACATTTTCTCCCCTTTTGCCCTGCCTCTTTTCCTTCTGTGTGATTCTCTATACAAATCTTTGTATGCCTGTTCTCATGTACAGTTTCATGAGGACTTTAGTACTGAACACGGCCTGGGCCAATGGTAATGATGATGTCATCGACACTGCCACTCAACTCTTCCAGAACTGGATGAGATTCAACCAGACGTGAGTGATTCACATCTGAATAATTGGTAAGTAGGTATTTTGGGGAATCAGAGATGTGGGGGTAACACCTACACACGTATCTGCTAGAGTGTCGGTAGACGCTCTATATAGGGATGACACAGATCAAATCTCCACCTTATCTCGTGCAAAACCCGGAGGCTTGAGCTTTGAAACCTCACAGTTAGGGTTTGGTTGCATTCAAGTACTTATCAATTTCAGCAGCCTACAAAATTGCACAAATAGCAGGCTACTTAGTTGCATTGTTCGATCTTTATCAGTATTTCAGAAGTAGGTGGTTTCTTGTCTATTTTTATATAATCTCCAGAACTCCACTGGAGTGTCACACCAGAATAATAGTGACCACAGCTTGCCTCTATAGGGTCAGAGGTGGGGCTGGGGAGTGTCTTAGTGAAGTATGGAGGATTGTTGAATGACACAGCTACTCTGCTGCTACACAGCCTTCTCCATCCCAGAGAGGATCATGATTGGATGTAAATGTTAGGATACCCAGATTTGACTCCCTGATTCACAGAAGTAGTCTCCACCCACAAAGGGTGGGATGCTGATGCTATTGGGAGAGATCACAGGACAACAGAAATCTGATTATTGTCGTCTCAGACAAACCAGCCCCCCCCCCCCCGCCCCCCCACCCCCCCCATGCCCCCCCCCCCGCACCCCCCCCCCTCCCCCACCCACCCACCCACAAAATTTCCGATTTTTTTCGTTTGACTGCCATTTTTAGACTTGACACCAGAAACATAGGGTCCATTGATTTTGGTTACTTCGTCTCTCGTGATATGCCTGTAATCCTCTTTTTCCACTATTTGTTAGGTCTCCTTATATAATCCCACATCACACTAGTATACGTTCCTCCACTGACTGGAACAGGACTGATTCACTGAATTAACTAGTTGTACCACTTGCTACCACATGTTCTCCTTTGGAGTAACTAATGACTCGCCATACCACGGACAGTTGTGTTGGGGTCTGTCATTTCAGGTAACCACACGTCCTCCAACCTCCCGTACCCCCTCCACAATGTGTAGTTACTCAAACATCTTCCCTTGGACAGTCTGTGTCACAATAAGCCTTACAAAAAACACTCTTCTACCTAAGTTGCTTTTAACATTGTCCTGCTCCAACTGTGATCACACTACACTCTTCTACTGCTGCCTTGAACAGTTTTAAGTGGCTTTTTCCATGTACAACTTCGGCTCGCTATAAAAAACCTTACACTCTTCCCATTATTGTCTGTCTTGAACAGTTCTGCCCACCACCGCCCAGACTCCTGTAGTCCACTATCACACTGTCCACGGAGCTACGTGATATTCTCCGACCGTCATTGATTGGCTACTTTTCCAGAAATGCTATATTGACTGAAAACCATGTCTGCTATACATCTTCATTTGAGAATATCTCCAACTCGACTCTCTCTGGTCCATTGGGGCTGTTCTTTGCAATCGACTTTCAATTTTCCTAGTGTCGTTCCTGATGCCACGTCCACTGAATTTAGTTGGGATTCAATTGAAGTCACATGATTTCTCACTGACCTCTCACTGCCTCCTTAGTTCCTTTGTATTGGTTGCTCAAACCTTTAACGGGATGTTCCATGGGTTTTTTTGGTTATTCACGGACTAACATCAATTCCCCACATGGAGACAATCTCTGCTTCCATCTGCAGTATTCTTTGCATCTGACTTCCCAATTTTCCTTAGTCCTTCTGGATACCAGCATCCCATCCACTGAAGACAGTCCAGAATCCAGTGGTAGATTTCAAATGAGTCACATTGATATTAAAGCTGACATCTCCAGCTCCGTTTGTGATTTACTAAAACCTCAGAACTCTTACTCTATTCCTCTGGCTCTATCACGAAGTCTGCAACAGCTCTTCGTGGAAATGTCTCAATGTCGGTTCTCACATCCAGTATGCATTCTGCCAGGAGTTTCTCCATGTTATCAGCTTGTTCCTATACTAGCATTAACTGAATACAGTTTGGGATTGAATCAGGTCCATGACGCTCACGTTAACTGTTGCAGTTTTGTGTGGTTGCTAATTTTTTGCTTCGAGTTCAGACTGCAATTTCATCTGAAAGCAAGCCTGTCCTGTTTTTAGGCCCAGCTTGGCCCTGGGGTTTAGAGTCATTCTGTCCGTTTAAATCCAGTGAATCCAGTTCTGAATCAATTGTGTTCTGTTGTTGATGACTGCCTCGACTCTTCAACAACAGAGGTCTTGTGGCTCTCTAGTTAGTTTCACTGTCGTAATCTTTCTTTCACCGACTCCAACACAGCGAGTCCGGGGTGTCTGGTTCTTTTGAGCCGCACGACATCTCTGCTCAAGTGGTTGACTTTTCCTTCCATTGCTCTCAGGTTCCTCTTCATTGCAGCCATTTCAGTCTTAACGACAGCCATTTCAGTCTAACGCGCCAGGCCTTCTTCTTTCAGTTTTAACGGCAGCAGTTCGTCGTGACGGCAGCCAGAGCCTCTCTCTCATTTCAGTCATGAATGGACTCAGTGTCTCATACACTGCTACTGCCATCTTGTGCTGCAAACACAAAATCACCTTCAGTCATGTCAGTCCGTTTTCTTTTAGCTCCTATTGACTCACCATTCACTTGAGCCAGTGACACATCCACACAAGGCAGTAGAAGGGCACACAGCACCACTAGCTGGATAGCTCCAGCCATTGTCTCCCAGTCTACCAGACAACCAATCCAGGGCTGTTTGTAGAACTACCAATACTGACAGTGTACTAGTATCTGCACCTTATGCGGACACCATGTGATTACATAGGACCCCAGTAGATACTGATAGAGTACATAACAGACACTATGGGAATATGGTCACTTTAGACAAACATCCATGCCTAAAAACTCTACTGACATTGCCTTACATTACACAGAGCTACTCTGTAGTACAGCATGTGTTCCACATGCAAGCAGCACTCGCATGTTTGCTCTCAAAGGTTGGTACTCTTGTTACCCGCATTCTCATGACTGTGTAGTCTCAATACTTACTCTCCCTCTCAAAATTGCTACTAAACTAGAATTTTGCTACTTCAAACGTCAAGAGCACAAATAACACAAAACCATTGAGTCTCTATGCATATAGACAAACTATCTTTCGCTCTCCCCATTATGCAAATACCGGGGACCCCAGGGTGGATGCGGACTGAAGTCGGTGGTACCAGTAGGAATAGCCTACGGAGGAGAGGAGGAGTGGAGTTGTCTGGGACAAGTACTCTCATCCTCTGATCCCTATGAGAAGAGACTCTTCTCAGTGCCCTCCGCCAGTCCCGCATTCCGATGGCTACTCAGTCGTGGTGTGACAGCTATTTGTAAGACTAGCTTTCTCTTCCACTCTCCTTCCTATCAGTCTTCTTCCTCACCTTCTAGTGCTACAGCTCTCGTACGCTCTCTACTACTCCATCTCGTTTTCCTCTCCATTCCTTATTCCTCTCTTTTCCGCATATCCTTCTCTTCGTTCGTTGGTTCATAAACCCCTTACTGATTTTTACTTATTTCTTATTCTGTGTTTTAAATTTCCTTGTTCTTACCCCTCCCTCCTTTCGTTTCCTTTCTCTTCTTTCTTTTTCTCTTGTCTTCCCTTTCTTCTTCATCTTATTTCTTTTCTTTCTTTCTTTTCTTTCTACTCCCCTTTCTTTTTTTCTATTCTTTTTCTCTTTTTCCTTTTATCCTTCTGTCGGTTCGTCTTTGTCAGGGTCTTTTTCGCGTTTTATTCTTGTCTTTTTTCTTATTCTTTCCTTGATTCTTTGCTAGCTCCTTTCTTTAAGTTGCCCTTTTCTTCTTTGTTTTATGGCTTCGTTTTTTTATGTTATCTTTGTGGTTCTTGGGATCTTTCTGCTATCTTCGTTTTTTGGTTCTAATCGGCTTTTCTTCTTGGTCTTTACATTTCTGTCTTATGTTCTTTACGTTTCTTTTGCTTCAGGGGTTAATCTGGTTCGTTATGTCGATTTTCCTTCTCGTATGTGCTGGTCGTTTCTCAGTTTATTCGTTTCCAGCTTGGGACTCTCCATCTACCCTCTGAGGAGCAGAATCGGGTACATACAGGGTGAGCGGTAGGCGGGTTCTGGGGACGGCAACCGACGGACGGGCGGGGGTAGCTGCTGTTGGGAGAGTTTTGAGGGTGTCCCTTTTTTCCCCCCTGGTCTATATCACAGCACCTGGAGTATTTCCTATGACCCCATTAAGTCCCACACAAACCCACAACTCAACTGTCATTGCCTACGTGTCAGGCAACGTCTACGGTCGATACCTAACGTGGAACTTTGTCAGGAGCAACTGGAGCCTGTTCTTGGAGCGGTAGGTGTCGCTAATAGCTGGGCTATAGATCAGAGTGGTGGTGTTTGTTTGTCACCAGGTATGGCGGAGGTTCATTTAGCTTCTCGCGACTGATCAAGTACGTGACTGGAAGTTTCACAACAGTATTAAGCATGTGTGTTCCACATGCAAAGCAGTGCGCACATGTTGCTCTAAAAAGGTTGGTACTCTTGTTACCAAATTCTCACCTGCTTAGTCTCAATACTTTAAGAGGACCTGTGATAAAACCTACTTACTTTTACTTCTCTCAAAATTTGCTACTTCAAGAAGCACAAATAACGCAAAAACTATTGAGTCTCTATGCATATAGACAAACTATCTTCTCTCCCCATTATGCACATACCGTGGACCCCAGGGTGGATGCATACCTGAAGTCGTGGTGTACCCAGTAGGAATAGCCTACGGAGGAGAGAGGAGTGGGAGTTTGTCTGGGACCAGTACACTCTCCTCCTCTGATCCCTATGAGAAGAGGCTCTTCCTCAGTGCCCTCGGCATGTCCCGCATTCCATGCTACTCAGTCGGTGGGTGTTGACAGCTATTGTTTGTAAGACTAGCTTTTTCTCTCTTCCACTCTCCTTCCGATCATCTTCTTCCCTCACTTCTAGTGCTACAGCTCTCCTTCTCTCCTTACTCCATCCTCGTTTTTATCTCCATTCCTTAATTCCTCTCTTTTCCGCATATCCTTCTCTTCGTTCGTTGTTCATAAACCCCTTAATGATTTTTACTTATTTCTTAGTCTGTGTTAGTTGTATCCTTATTCTTACCCTCTCCTCCTTTCTCCCTCCTACCCTCTGTCTTTCCCCCCCTGGTCTATATCACAGCTACCTGGAGTATTCCATAGACCCCAGTAAAGTCCGCACCCAAGACACCACAACTGTCATTGCCTACGTGTGAGCCAACGTCTACGGTCGATACCTAACGTGGAACTTTGTCAGGAACAACTGGAGTCTGTTCTTGGAGCGCTAGGTGTCACTAATAGCAGGGCTATAGATCAGAGTGGTGGTGTTTGTTTGTCACCAGGTATGGTGGAGGTTCTTTTAGCTTCTCTCGGCTGATAAAGTACGTGACTGGGAGTTTCACAACAGAACTGGAGCTGAAAGAGGTGAGCTAATAGTTTTACCAATTTACCCTCCAAAACTTTTCCGTTGGGGGAAGACTTTATGTTCTCTAAATTCTGTGAAGAATGACGTTTTACTGCACGAAAAAGGTTGGCCCGCTATAGATACAGCAAAGAGATAGCACACACACTGACAACCCCGCATTAATTCTGTTCACGCTTTTTCACTTTGCCATTTAATGTGTGGGTTTTTATGCACTACCTGCTTTACTGCTTAACTTCATGTAGCTTTATACTACCACTCCCTCAGTCTTTTTGTTATCTACCTCTGAACTTAGTAATCTGGTCAAGTAAACTAGCACCCTCTCTCTCTCTCTCTGTTTGGTGTAGGTGGAGAGGTTCTTTAGTGAGCAGGGGGACCAAGGGAGTGGGGCTCGGGCTATCAGACAGGCCCTGGAGGTGATACAACGGAACATTCTCTGGCTGGAGACCAACCAAAACCTCATCCAAAACTGTCTATCTGACACTCAGTCTTGTTTCTGTTCCTCTCTCCCATGATTACTATGTAATGTGAATCTCGCCGGCTTGGGAGTCAGAATACTCATGTTGGATAAGAGCTCATTTCCGCTGCCTATAGTGTGTAGTGCACTTGCCCAGCAAGCAAGAGGTGGTGGGTTAAAATCCACTGGTAGCTAGAGCTGATTTTTCTTTCTTTCTTCGTTTCTTGCGTGATCGCTGATAAATGGAAACTATTAACAATTTCGAATTAACAATCATGGTTTATAATGCAGTACAAACCATGTAGCAAAACTACCATTTTCAGTGTGTCTTCAAAAGTTCAGATTCATTCTGCCTGTCACTACTTGACATAGAGCTCCATGAACTCGACTGGAGTATCATCAATACTCTCCCATCGACACAGTCTGGCCTCTGTTTTCTACAGTTCCGTTGCTATACTCTTTATTCCTCCGGTTGCGTTCTGAAGCTCATTGTTAACTGACATCACTTTAGCACTCAATTCCTCCTTGGCAGTCTCAAGCCCTGTTGTTATGTTTGTCCTAAACTCATCCTGTTTCGATCCAAACTGTTGTAGCGTGTCTTGAATCGCATCGTGTCCTCCTTGTTTACAAATAGCACTTATGAGACTGGAGAGTTCTTCAACAGATAAGCCAGTGGTCGCTTCTTTCTCCAATGTATTTGCTATTGCACACTTCATGGCTTGTTGTTTCACGACTATTGTGGACCTCGACCTCTCCACGCAGAGCACTCACAGTTTCAGTGAGATTGGTAACTTTTCATTCAAGTCTGCTAACACTATCTTCAACACTGGCAATCACTGCTCTCACTTCAGACATGAATGGTGCGAGTACTTCAGCCATTCTCTCACTCACCTCAGGCATCAGTACACCACCACCTAGGTAGGCCAATATTATGTTGAGAGTTGTATGCGCGTGCGCATGCGCTCTCGCTAGTTCGCGCGCCCGTCCGCGCGGGAAAAATCAACTGTGGATGAGCTATGTGCAACCGAGAGATAGTGCTAGTGCTTTTCCGTAACACGCACACACACAAAGTGCAAAGTGGCATTCGTCCTCCATTGTGCGGATGCGAAAGCTGGTTTGTGCGTATTTTAACCAGGCCATGTGGTCTTGACACCAATGGCATGACAAATACTGAACCATTTTCAGTGGTTTACTTTGTAGCGAACTCACTTGCGCTCTGTGTTCCTCCGAACTGTAAACCAGAAGAAAGCAGAACCACTGCCATCAACAGTAGACGAATAACGTTGCCCATGATGCCGTTCCGAGATGTAGCTGGGTGCTGGCAGCGGCGGCACCATGCGCCAGGACGCCGCCTTGTCTATCCCCGTCCGCTGGTATTGTCTATTGTCTCGCTCTGGCGGATACGTGGTAAGTACGGATGAGAAGATTCCGGGTTTCTCGCTAGTGGCTTGTGCAGTTATAGCTACGGTGAATCCCAGGGGTGCGCCACTAAGTCGGTCAGGAAATCCTATCAACACGCGCATGCGCATTGGCCAGGTCCCGCGCAGGTATATCGCGGTGCGCGATCCTAGCGAAGCAGTAGTGTCAAAATGGAATATTCCGCACTCCTGTTGATCCTAGTGCTGGTATCGTTAGTAGTAGAAGCACAGATCCCCCTACAGTGTGCTAATATAGAGACTCTTACATCTAGAACTTGTTGCCCGGTTCCCGACCTCCCGGATGCCGGTCCGTGCGGCGCCAATCTCGGCAGAGGCTCGTGTCGACCAGTCGCCGTCCCTGACTCAAAGTTCGACGCGGAGCAGAAGGACGTCCGCGTCAATTGGCCGATCCAGTATTTCAACAGTACGTGCGTCTGCGGCGAGAGATTCGGCGGCGTGGACTGCGGGGAGTGCAGCTACGCCTACAACGACGGAGGAAACTGCGAGCGTAAGACGGTTCTTCCGAGAAAATCTGTAGCGGAGCTTACGGACGAGGACTGGAGAGAATACGTGGCCGTCCTATTGCGAGCGCAGGCCTTCCCTTCCCGCTACATGGTCGTCACGGTAAACTTTACAACGGACTACCAGACGCTGGTGGATTCCATGACCCGACCGTCCGTCTACCACATGTTTGTGTGGGTCCATTATACTGCTTCAAATACTCCAGGTTCATTCAGCATGTCAAGCCTTATACTGTTGTTGTCGTCGAGGTTGTTGTTATCCTGTCTGTCGCAGTGTAATGTGAATCACTAAAGTTAGTTTGTGTGTGGTATTAGCTCTATTGCAGAGTGAAAACTCCGTTATGCTTCATAGGAAGGATGTGGTTGGTATAGCTGCAGACCCAGTCCCCTGCCACTATAGTATGTGTAGCTAGGTCATCACGGAGGTGGTGCTAATTCTATTCGATTCACACAGTAGCTATATATTCCTGGAGGCATTACACACTGTATTGTTAAAGTTCATTGGAATTGTGCTACCTTATACTACTGTATATACAATTCTTAGGAAATTGCATGCCTATGTTACTATAAGGAATAGCTAGCTACCACTGGAATTCCAATAGTTAACTGATACGGTAAATTCACGTCTCACATTTCAGGTATCAATAGCATGCACGATATGGCACACCAGGGACCTGGGTTTCCCACATGGCATCGTCTCCTAATACTCTGGTTCGAGAGAGAGCTCCAAGTCATGCTGGGAGACCACCTCTTCCGTTTCCACTACTGGAACTGGCTGGATCCCACACAGAGAGACGTTCCCTTTACTCCCCATAGACTAGGAGCCACAGTTGATACCATAGTCACTGGAGATCTTGTTGACGGCAACTGGTCCCTCATATGCTGGTTCGATAAGAGAAACTTTACTCGCCCCGTACGACATCTGTGATCCGAGAAAGTTGTCCGTATCGCGATTAATTCGCTGTCCAAACGCAACACTGTGTGAAAAGGACAACCCGGTGTGGCCGAGCTACGCGGACTATCAGTTTGCTCTCTCCATCAAGAACTACGACGTGTCCCCGTACAATGCCTTGGTAAAGTGTACCGAGGAGAGCTATCGCAGCTATATGGAGGGGTTTCTCAATGAACGAGGTGCGGACTGTGGCGATGATCCCATGTGCAGCCCGGTGGGTGAGGATGAGAAAGGCTCTCTGAAGCTACACAACGTGGTAAGTCACTCTAACAGTTTGCTACTGCGAAACCTCTAAGTAAGGGACTCCTCGGGGACATTGAAAGTGTCCTTTATTCTATAGGTTTGACTTTCTTAGTGTAATACTAGATGTCATTTATACTGAGGGTCCTTTTTCAGGGGTATCAAATACTCTTTTCATTTTGGGATGTTTTGCAGCTGAGTGGAAGTACATTACCAGGAAAGCCGATAGAAAGTATTTGCATTATTGTGCGTAATAGTGCGTGAGTCCACACAACAGATAAAGCTGGTAGACTTTAAGTTCTGTTAATGACACTTGTTTCACTATCCTCTTCTCCTCAGATCCACAATATCCTAGGACTAGGAAACCTCACTGCTAGGCCCACCTTCCTCCAGACGGGAGTGATGGGTGACGGCTCTGCCTCCCCCAATGACCCTATATTCATCAACCACCATACAATGGTGGACTGTATGCTGGAGGAATGGATTCAGAAGTATCAAGTGGGGGAAGAGGCATACCCCACGTCGCGCAGAATCAAATACGGCCACAGAGCAACAGACTACATTGTACCGTTCATTCCAGTGTACCAGCAGAAAGAGATGCTCGTCTCTGCAGACAATTTCGGGTACTCTTGTTCGATTCCAGACTCTTCAGTTTCATTGACAAACGCTGCATTTCTCAATAGTCACTTTCATTTTAGTAGCAGTTGTGGTTCTACTGTTTTAAATTTGCTCCGACAAATGAGTAATAATTTTTATTGGAAGTGTTTCAACTCTGCTTTTCCCCTAGTAAAATGAGTGTGAGCAGCACAGCAGCACTTAGTGAGAAATCTCAGCAGTTTTACACACAAATCACGTAGAGCATTTGGTACGGACTGCTCCGTTTCGGCAACGGCATAATTCAGGTTTACGTGTGTTTGCTTTGCTTGCCAATTAAACTTGCCAATCAATCTTAGATTATCATAACACACAGAAGATAATACAACATGCTCTAGGTGCTAGGCAGTGTGTCTCTCATCCACAAAGTCTAAAACGGGTTCCCTCAGTTGAGACGAAGAGAGGTGCTCCACCACGTGAGGCTCTGCCACAATCTCCTGGAGACATATTGTAGTCGATGAGGGGGGCTCCGAGACTCTGCTCAAGATCCTTCCGCCACTCGATGTCCCTTTGGCTCCTCCCTCGTCCCCCACACTGTTCTCCTGCCCCTCTCGTTGTCTGCCAATAACCTCCATTATCTCCTTCCTGTTCCTGAGTTTGAGAGCAGAGACCAATGTCGTCGCCATTTCCAGCATCTCGTCCGTCTTGTTCCTGAACTTGTCGTTTCTACGAAGTCTTCGCAGCAAGTGCCACCCTAGAATACCTAGGTAGGTAACAAGAGCAAGACCCAGAGAAAAATTGATCAAAATCTTCTGATCAGTAAACCTCTCCTCACTCTGGGCAGTGTACGAGACACCGAGAGTGAGTCCAATGAGATTGAGGAGGAAGGAGAGGTCGAGAAGGAAAACCCAGAGACTCTTGAATGGACGGATGTAGGCCTGGATTACCGTGAATCCCACGAGAAAGCTGAGTTCGAGAGTGAGGGTTAAAGTCGGGTTGTTTGTTCCCCGGTGGGCAATGATGATGTAGATGATGATGGTCAGAACAAGACGCGCCCCAAACCAGAACCGCAGCTTGTCTCGGTAGGGAGCGAGGCTGGCGTCAACGTAGGCGTTTAGTCGGGTGGAATTTACCCGACTTTGAATGAGCGTCGAAAACAGAAAAAACACCATATAGGGAATGATAAAGAAGACTACAGTGAAAGTCCCCACTAGTATAAAAACTATTGCAAGCGGATCATTAAGTCGCTCCGTTCCATCGAAAAACCACACAAAATGATCTTCCATCTTCCTCGTCCTCTGAGACGAGAGACACAAATGTGACTGTGTCTATTACGGTGCGAACGAGCTTCAGGAAGGCAATGTAGAACATTGTCACCAGGACGTGGATACCATCGAGTGTGGAGACAATCCTCTGCACCATAAGTGAGCGCTGACTCAGTCCCCTTATTAGAGCTATCATAAGCATGATATATGTGGGAAATACGTACTGTAGACCAAGTTTTGCCGACTCTGTCATGCCATCAAAGAAGCACAGTGGAAATCCCAAGTCCAAGTTGAGCCAGGACGCAAACCAAAAGAGAAATCCCCTGGTGTTACTCCGGAAGAATATGTTTGAGTTTATGAGGACAATGTTGGCGTAGAAGAATAAACCGTTGACTAGTCCGTGGGTGATTGTGGAATCAAGGAGAAAGAAAGACATTGCCAGGAGTGCTCCGAGCAGTGCGAAGAGGGGTAGGGTGGCTAGCCAGGCATTTGAGCATTCCCGGCACTCGGCGGTGCCAAACGCGGAACTGAGACCTTCCCTGCAGGCCCCACAGAGAATGCCTGTCCTTCCTTCAGTACAGAGTTGGTCAGGCACCCGCAGATCCACGTACGTCACGTCTTCCCTGCAGTAGTCGATGGGACATGTCGAAGCAAACAGTGTTACGGTGCTACCATCATCATCCACAGTCTGCGTACCTATCCAATAGTTGGTAGGTCGAACGATCGTGTAGTCTGTTAGATTACAGAATGAGTAAAGCCTTCTCTCGATAAAGTCACTGCAGATGCACGAAGGGCGTTTGCTGTCAAAGAACTCCAGAGTAAACCCAGGTGGACAGGCAGTAGTGTTCAACTCAACAGTCACTCTCTGGCCTCCTATAGTAGTGTATAGATCAAGGTAGAGCGCGACGTTCTCTGGAGCAAATATCTGGAATTCCACTGGGGTACACTCGGTGTACCCAGGTAGGGGTCGCACATCTTGATTGATTCCAATCTCAACTTGATGAGAGGGGTCCACTGGTCGGGCGTAGGAATAGAGAAGAGAAGCCACGGGGGTGCGTGCTATATCTATGGGATTGAGGTACAAAATGAGGGTACCTCCTGGTATAATTGGGTCGTCCAATGAATAACTCTCGGGGCAGTTAGCAGAGTTGTAGGTCGTATTCTTGCAAATGCACATCAGCTGTTGCATTGAGACTAGCTCTGATATTCCGTTTCCAACTGTCTCAGGGTAATGAAACAGTTCCTCGTAGATGATCCTCTCCTCAATGCCATTAATGTTTGTGTGGGTTATCGACGAAGTTGGGACAAAGAAGCACAGATAGAGAGGGTTTCCAAATATGGAGTTCCCGGTCCCTTAGAGCACTGGTTGTTGGAGAAGACAATGGACAAGTCGAGAAGTTGCAAGTCCTCGCGTGTGATTCTGAGTCGTTTCTCGGAAAAGAACTGTATTGCGCAGGTATCAGCGACAGAGCCACCTAGTGTATTGATGTAAATGGCACCGCCTTCTAGAAATGCACTATTACTCGTGAAGGCCAAGTCAGAGCCATCGTGTATGAAAAGAATCGAGCTATCGACCAGACTGAGTGCCCCGCCACGGAAACCATGGTTGTCTTGGAAGGTTGCACGGCCACGGAGGACAATATTGGCCCGTACAGCTCCAAGAACACTCATGTGGTTGTCGACAAAGTGGCAACCCTTTTCCGGTGTGCCAACCAACGTCATGTTGGCAGTGTGACTCACGAGAAAAACAGCGGAATTTTCAGGTGAACTCTCCGATATGTTTTGCCCCGGGGAACGTATTGTTCGAGGCCACCACATCCTCCATGTAGACGAAGACGTCCCTGCTATTAGCAACAGATTGAAACTGAAAGACGTAGAGAGCAGCTCCAATACTGGCAACATTCTCTGTGAATGTCGTGTCCCGCACCAAGAGTCGTATATTTGAGACGTTCTGCGGTGCCATATATAGCATCAGTGCCCCTCCGTAGAATGCCTCGTTACGAATGAAACTCGAGCGAGACACTTCCACAAGATCGTATACATCGGCTGGGGAAGGTGGGAAGCTATTGAGCATGTCAAAAGAATACTGTCACTAGGACCAGCAACCCACCACCTCTGCTAAGATCAAACTCCCCAGTCACTACATTGTCTCTTACTACCACCCGGTCCAGTTTTGTGGCGCCCATACGGAGCGTGTTGTAGTACATCACAAAGAAATTGACGCTATTACCAGAGTTTGAAATTATTTCCGTGTCTGTGACACTGACGTCAACAAAGTAGCTTCGTTGGCCCGTGTAAATTGTCAGGGAAAACCCCCCCGTTAGCAGGATACGTTCCGTAGCAAACCCCTCACCAACTATTTCGAGAATGTCCACTAGGAAACTCGTGGGTATAAAATTTGTATTGTTGACAATTGAGCAGTTTTGTATGGAGACGCTGGCTGTGTAGTTCTCCTGAGCTGTTACCAGGTCTTGCGTAATGTCCGTATCATTGAATATGAATACGATACCGCTGCCGGAGCAGAGCATATCACTCCTCTTTGTAGGTTGTGTACACTCAGTGAGGATCTTGCTAGTGGTGTCTGTAACTGATACATTTCTAGTAACAGTGTGGCCAAGTGGGTTAATGAATAGTACTCCAAACCCAAGGCATCTGTCAATATTAACATTCTCTAGTGTTACATCAGTGGAGTGGGTGATTATCATAACTGCCTTCTGCAGAGGGCCGAGGTAGGTAAAGGTATTGTTAACGTGACCAGGTAATCCACTGGGTACCTCCCTACCACAATTGATGATTTGAAGGTGGGAGAGACAAAGGCTGGAGATATTGAAAAGGGCAATCCCTCGTCTCATCTCAGACTCACTGTGACAGTAGATGACAGTCCCGGGCTGGGTCCTCTGGCCCTGGATCGTGATATTCTGGAGATTCTGGAGGAGACAGAAGGGACCTTCCTCGAGGTAGTGGACGCCTCCTGATAGCTGGAGAGTCGTGTCTGAGACCAGTTCCATGGTTCCAGGGCCACATAAGTGGTAGTGGAGACTGGTGTTAGTTTCAGGTGCAGCGTCGGCGTCTATCGTTAGTGTAGCTGTTGAATCCTGGCCGTTGGCGAGCAGCGAGAGAGAGAAGAGGAGGAGGAGAGAGACGGTGGGCGGGTGTGCAAGTGACAACGCTCGTTTCCCTGCCGCAATAGTGGTCGAGCGGTAAGACGGTAGCGACATTGCTGGATCCTGGAACGAGAGAGAAGGGGCGGTATACGTGGAAGCTGAAATCTAGCTAGCTAGAGCTGTTTTACATACAATTCACAGGAGGGGTGGTTTCCAAAATCCTGCTTCAATAGAGACCGAGATATGCGAGATATTCCAATTCCTGCACGAAGCCAATATGCAGATCATCAATCAGCTGAAGCTGGTTATCGTAAGTGGGTGGAGCTGCTCGCTCTGCCTCTGTACATGCGCAGTTCTACTTCGCGGAGCCACGCCTTCTCAATCCGCGCGCGGGAGCCAACTCCGCGTAAACTATGAAAATACATGTTTTGACTACTGCCTCACTAAGAGGAGGGAGTCTCCTGATAACGCCTTTGAAATAGTATATTCAATACTACCAATCCCGCCTTTTTACACCCATCTATCACATCTGTACCTCCCACAACTAGCTATTTCGCCCTGCACACAAAGTAAAATGCAGCCTGCGTTACTGTTTCTCGTGCTCCTAACGGCATTTCTGGAAGTGAACGCCATCATTCCGCTGCCATGTGCTAATAGCAAAAGTCTCACTAATCGAGAGTGTTGTCCAGTTCCCACGAACCTCGGCAGAAACTCCGGTCCGTGCGGCGCCAATCTTGGCCGTGGCTCCTGCGAGGATATCATCATTCGCGAATCCGCGTCCGAAATGGGTGAAAAGGACGTCCGCGTTAATTGGCCGATTCAATATTTCACTAAGGCTTGCAAGTGTAAGGAGAGATTCGGTGGATACGACTGTGGAGAGTGCAGCTACGCCTACAATGATGGTACCACAGATTGTGAAAAGAAAACTATCTAT